CGGGTCGCGTCGGTTCGGTAAATTTATGTATACGAGTGTGCCCATGAATTTTTTCGTATGTCGCATTATTTTAAAGTGTAAGTATAGGAAATATATTAAAAAAAAATCGCGCAAACTAATTTAAATAGTGGTCATGTGTGTGAACGTAAAATGCAAGAAATAGGTACCTAGTTTGGAGTCAAATCATAGAAACTGTTTAAACAATAACAAAATCAAATTTATTGCGTCACTGACTGGTAAGTGCATTTCTCATTTTGAACCAAATGTAATTTCCTATTAATTGATATGTATATCGCTGGCTTTGAGTGGCTTTTTCGAAGGCTAATATTTTAATATATAAAGCGAGATTAATCCAAAATGCATCGTTTCCTAAAGGACTAAGGCACTGGTTTTATTTCCTCCCTTTTAAATCCAATGAAAGGCAAATTTACTAAGTCAAAAAAAAATTATACAGAAACTCGATATGGTCAAAATTTGTGTTGGGAAATATCAAATACTTTTTGCGATCGAGTTCTTTGGTATCGATACTTTTAAGGATCGGGTATTTTTGAGAGTACTGAGTACTTTCTTTAAATATACACATGTTGGTAGCATTTTAATGCTAAGTGTAGAATTCTTGAAACCCGGCAGCACTTTCATCAAATTAATATATTATGTTAAACCAAATTACATCGATTAAATGGCTATCTGTACTGAAAATAAGTGTTGTACTTGAAAATTACTGAGACTTTAAATTGAGTACAATCATTTCTGAATACCAGTAAATGTAAATAGAAAGCACTACTTTTAAGTATTTATTCGACACTTAATTCTGAGTACTTTGAATCGATCCTGAGTACATGTATTGCAATTATGATGGGAACAGAATATTTTTGAGTACTGAGTGTTTTCGAGTTCTTTGGTGAGTACTGAGTGCTTTGGGGTACTCAGTATCGATACTTTTATAAATCGGGTAGTGTCGATCCTTTTGAGAATCGAGTTCTGAGTAATTTAGGTATCGATACTGCCCAACACTAGTCAAAATAATAAGGAATCCTGTAATTAACATCAAATCATTCTGATTCGTAAGGAGTTTCGCTTTGCTTTAGATATGTACTCTAAATGTTATATTCAAAGTTTTGCAAAAGACTGCGCAGAAAATGGTATGGCATAGAAGAATTCTTGTTGAATTTTAAGCAAATTTGCCGCAGAAATCATTGGCCTAAAATCAATTTCCAACTTGCTAAATCGCGAAAATAGGTTTTTTTTCCTTTGGAGCGTTATAATTTGCTGTATTGTCGTAAAGACTTGCTTAAATTTTTTATAAAAAGAGCCTGCTGTAAGGGAGTTTTTGTATGAGGAATCCATTACCGGCACTCGCCAGAGGATGCAACAGAGAGACAGAAATGGACGAGAAACGCATTCATAAATTACGTACCGACGTAAAATACCTTTAATATATAATTGACCCACCCTAATGTATATTATAAGTAACACCATATAAATCCACATTTCAAACTTTTTACAAAAATTAACACAAAAAACAACAAAGTTTCAAAAGAGAAACTTTCTCTGCAAGTATGTATGTATGTATGTAAAGAAAATGCACGCTGAGCGATTATTTGCTATTTTACGCCCTGTAGATATTTAACTTAACTGACACGAAGCATTATGCTGTCATCCTCCTGTTGGCTATTAGCTGCAATGGCTAAAGCATTCATGCTTTTTGTTAGCAACAGCATGAACCTGCACCACATAGCAGTGGCTAAAACCAGCACGGTAAACGAAAATTTTGTACTACCACAGTAAGGGCCATATGATTAATTCATACGTATGAATCAGAGAATGGCATGCTATGCTGTTTTTGTGACTCTAGTTAAGCATACTCACATTAAAAGCGGTGGATGAATGAACACCAGTGTTTCCGTTGAGAATTTTCAGAAAGTAGGAAAAGGGGTCATTGACGAAAAAAAGGGTCACCATATTATTTTTACTTTTCGTTACTAGTAAAGAAAACTAGTTACTAGTAAAAGAACAAATATCTTGAATTTAAAAAGGTAATAGCGGGACAAGCTTTGCATAAAACACAATTGCAAACACGCACATTGCATTTCCTTTAAAAGTTTTAAGTGAGGATATATTTTTTAATAGCACGGGTTCTGTTAACTTTTCATAAAAAAAAAGGAATTCTCAAATGGAGCAAAAGTCGCACATCATTGTGGCGCTTAAAAAGGGCCAAATTGCCCCTTTAGTCACACAGCGGCAACACTGATGAACACCGCCGCAAAGCGTGCAGTGTTTGCAAATACCGCCACCACAAGTGAACGATCATTCTAAAGGCCAAAATACAATAGCGCAGTGGCAGTGACAGTTTTTAAAATCAGCTGTTACTACTAATATTGGCAGTCACTGTCGTAGCAAATAGGTACAATACGGCGTTGTCAGTGGCAGCTTTTTTTGACATTCTCTTTTGTTTGTTTACATTTTTGTTGTTGTCTTTTAGGCTTCAGTGACATGAACAGAAGTAGGCTGCATTTTATTTATGTCAAATTCAGCATGCGAAGTTTGCTGCGATGAAGGCAGTGACAGGGAATTTAGAATTTGGGTTAAACTGAGCAGTACTGCCAGCTGCCACTGCTGTATTGTGTGTCGCTACATTGGACACCACACTTTCTAAAAAACAGGTGATTTCGAAAAACTGCCACTGCCACTGCCACAGCGTTATTGTATTTTGGGCTTAAAAGCACATACTGATATTGACTTCGGAAAAGGAGTATTCAGAATGATAGTGCACAAAACCAGCAACGGCCGCATTTGATCGACTGCCGAAAGTATGATACTGCAAAATATGACACCTCATTTGAACGGTTGGCGAAGGCAAGTCGTCGGTTTTGGTTACTTCTATTTTATTATTCTTCTATTTTATTATTCTTCTATTTTATTTTATTTATTTCTAGCAAATGCCGCGATAATCCGATAGTTTTATTTTTAATTTTTATTATCGATCAACCATTGTGTGCGTGTATGTATGTACGTATGTATATTTAAAACTGCGAGTAATCTTACTGTGACTCAGGAAAATTTGCGTATTACATATTCATGATTATTTAGCAGTTTCTTAAATATTACGTTTACTTGAGATATAAATAAATTGGTTCACTAAAGCTTTAATGAAAGTCAATGACCGGCGAACCTAACTTCATTTTATTATCTTTAGAAGTGCATACAGTGGGGAGCAGAAATGAGTGCAAGATGTATTTTGTAAAATATTTGCAAGGTTTTTAAACTTAAAAATTTTGGTTATTTTTTCATAAAAATATGGTTCGTGCTTTTATCGAAACCATATAAGTCACGATTTATACAGAGCTTAGAAAAATTTAACAAGATATTATTAAAATTTTGAGGTTTTGTTGAATATTTGCAAGGTTTTTAAAGTCAATTTTTTTTCCTAAATATTTGGTTGATGCTTTTACCAAAACTGTATAAATCAAACTTTATACAGGGCTTAGAAAAACTTAACAAAATTTTATTAAATTTTTGAGCTTTTTAAACTGGTTTTTAGAATTTATTTATTTTTTGTTTTGAGTATGCAGTTTTGTGGCCCATTAAATTTTTCATATTAGCATAGATTACTTACGGAAGAAAATGGGCAAGACCGTTTGCAAAGAAAATTAAAAAAAAAAACAACGCCAGTTTTTATAAATCGCACTGGTTATATGAAAAAAAAAACCCGCTAATGTCTTTAAATCTTTAAAAACCTTGCAAATATTTGACAAAAATCACCATGTACTCATTTCTGCTCCCCACTGTATGTACGTACAAATTTATTTGTAAGTATCTGCACTTGTGTTCATATTTCGACGATAGGTTTCTTAGAATATCCCAAAAGAACTTCTTAAAGGTAAGCAAATCAATCAGAACACAATTAATACTACAGCTTTGAAATTAACAAATCCCAAAAGATTTGAAAACGATGAAAATATTTTATAAAGTATTCACTTGCATACAGATGGACATATTATAGGTATTCATCAAATCGAGCAAGTGGCCTGGCATTCTGGCAAACCGGCGTTGCTTGAGCTAATCTGCTGTTTTGTTCGAGTGCCAGGCCACTTGCTCAATTTGGTGAATACCGCTATTGTAACGTAAGGAACAGCAAAGGATGTAAAAAACGTGCAGCGCATGCTCTTTTTTTTTAATTACATATCTACATATGTATATACTTACGCCTGCATAATGCTTGAAATACAATACCGGCGAACGGCAAACTTCGCCGAATTGGGCGATGCTGTCATTCACCGTTCGCCCAGCTATTTCGCCTACTTAAACAGAATTAGAGCGGTAGCGAAAACAGCTGATTCCATTTGGTCGCCTTTATAATTTGGGTGACCATATTTAGAAAAAACTAAACCATATTTAGAAATGAGGAAATGATAACAAATATAAATGTAAAACAAAGAAAGATTATTATAAATAATTTGTTTCAAGCCAGATTTAACGAATCCAAAACTATATTTTTTTAAACAACAAAAAAAAATCGTGTTTAGGTTGTTTTCTTTTTAAACTTTGAAAGCACAAAACAAATACGGCCTCCTTTGGCACGCACAGCTGTCATCGCCCAGCAGAGCGATAGAAATAAATCTATCGCCATGAAACGCCGCCAAGCGAACTTCGCATTTCGCTTTGGCTGTGTTCAATTTCATATGCTTGCGGGTGTTCTAATTTTGACAGCGTGAATTTCGCTGTGGTGAGTTCGCCGTCGCCGGCATTGTATTTCAGCTATAAAGATGCACGTATTTATATACCAAGCGCACGTAGTCACATGCATGTGTACCTACCCTTTAGAATTTTCAAAGCCGAATGCACACTTTTCCATATTTACCATCTGAGATTGACATTCGCTCTATCCACCACCACTTATCTGTTGTCACAATCTCATCGTTATCAGGCACAGGCAACCGCACAACCGCACAGCCGATCGGTGGCGCAGTGAGACACCAAAACTAACGCTCCATAAACTGAGTGCGGAGTAAAACATGCTCAGTTGGGATGAGAGATCCAGTGGAGGCGTACACGAAATATTTATTTGTTAAGTAATTTTAATTTTAAGTCAGGCACGCAGAGGTAGGGAGGGCAGTGCAACACAAGCAACGCCATAAAAAATAAAGCAACAATTTTTAAAAAGTGAACTCTTGGCATACAGCTCTTATCGTGCATTGGAAATAATTCAAATTTCGTCCAAATAAAATTTAAAAAAAAAAATAAATAAATAAATAAATACATAAGTTATAAATCTCAGGTTAGAAAAAAATCTTAAAAAAAGAACTCTTATCGTCTAAGCGCTAAAAATATACACAAATCTATGTACATAGAAAAGTGTTTTTAAAGCGATTTTGATTAAAATCGGATTCGTGAAAGCGTAAACGTGCAATTGAAACAAAAAAAAATAAAATTAAATATCTATTTGTACAGTACATATTTGTACAAATCAATCAGAACCGAATCGTATGACTCTACAGGATTTGGAAATATTAGTGAGCCAACTAGCGGTGTGTGACGACGCAACCGGCAAAATGATGTCCAGAACTTTTAGGTGAGTTTGCTATATTTTAATATTCGTAGTAAGTCCAAATCTTTATTATATTACAATAGGTGTTGTGGAAATGGTCTTGGATTTGCAGTTGGATTTGCATTTGCAAATTTTATGCTTTCTGCCATGGCAACAGTGTGCATTTTATTGTTGTGAATTTACAAATGCAACGCATAAGCAAATCCAAGAGCATATGCACAAGATTCTTAACAGCCCTAATACATATACTATTTTATGCGTGGAAAAATTCTTGCGCCACATTGACTAGGCACCTGCAGAGCACAGGTAAATTGGCTATCGCTTGAAGCTACATACATACATAAGTATGTATGTACATTAGGGTGGTCCAAAAACAGTAAAGTCAGTAAACAGTAATTGTAATGCTCTCACCCCGTAGGATTGTTCTATATCGAAAAAGTATAACCCTATTTTTTATTTTGAAATCAAAAAATATTTAGAGGTCGCTCAAAGCGCTCAAAGTTTTCCATGTATTTTTATATGAGAAAAATAAAATTTTTCGTAGAAATGGTATAGAATTCTTGAAAATCTATATTTTTCGATCGGAAAACTTTGGTTTCTTAAGGAGACTTTCAATAATAATACCCAATTGTTCATTTAACCATTTTTTAATACCAACGATTTTTCATTGGTCGCCCCATTGAATTTTTCGGGGTTTTTGTGGTTTTTTGGCGGACCTATAAATTATAGTTGCGATGAAACAATGGTTAAATAAACCATTGGGTACTATTATTGGGAATCTTCTGCAGATAAGCAGAGTTTTCTGGAAGAAAAATATTGATTTTTAACTATTCTAAACCATTTCTATGAAAAGTTGTTTTCCCTCCATATAAAATATATGGAAAACTTTGGGCGCTTTGAGCGACCTCTAAATATTTTTTTGTTTTCAAAATAAAAAAATAAGGGTATACTTTTTTTCGGCTGAAAAGATTTTTAAATATTTTTATGCAGATTTTTTAAGCTTAAACTGTGTTGTCATCTGAGCGGATTTTTTTTCAAAATATTCTTTAAAAAACTATTTTTATCACAAAAAAAACTCAATTCTTGGAGGTATTTTCAAATCGGTCCAGCTAACGTAAATCTTAATATATATCCGAAATATTTTGGTAGAATCCTTCAAATATAATACATTTTGTAATCCCGGCAGAAAAACCGAAATTTTTTTGGTTATGCAGTCTAATGTAGTACATACCTACATACATGTAGCTTGTATTGAACTTTAGTTGTATGAAACAAATTTTTCAAGGATAAGTAAAATATGCATTTTTTCAGGGACAAAAAGTAATCATTGTTTTTTTAAATTTTAACCAAAAAAAAACAAACAAGTTGTAAACGTCGTAACACACGTTTAATTACACTCACGTATTTGTGCTCATACGTCCTGCTGTAATTTACATTGATTTTTATTTTTCAAGTTTAATCAATGAAGATTAAAAGTTATTAATTAATATTTGACTTTTATTTTGTTCGCTCAAAGATAATAACTATTATTGAGCTATATTTTTTCAGTTAAGAATAATGATCATTCCAAAACTTCCGACGCATCATTTTTAAAGGTACCGACACCCTAATAAAATTTCAGTAGATTGGACTCTATGACCTTTTCTATTTTACAATAATCATTATTTTTAGGTGGAAAAATAAAAATCATAAAATAATCATTATTTGTGATCGAAAAAATAAAATCAAATAACAATTATTTGCATTGAGCGAAAAAATAAAACTCAATAATAATTATTATTTTTAAGCAAAACATAATAAAATTCAACCAATAAAGTTATCACCGCTGCGCCCTCTGGCGGATGTTTTAGGAAAAGGATAAGTAAAAATAGATTCCTCATACCAAAAACCTCTTATAGCGTGCTTTTATACAAAATTTAGGCACTTCAGCAAAATGATAAGTAAAAGAGACCTATTTTCGCAATTTGGCAAACTCCAAATTAATTTTAGACCAAAGGTTTCTTCGGCAAATTTGTTTAGAATTACACTTAGCATCTTGCTATGCTATACGCCCATAGTCGAAAAAAAATTTACACGCCCTTACATACATACATACATGTCTACGTAGTTATTTTACCGTTTTTAGCAAGTCAGAGGCAATAAACGAATTACGACCATAAACGAATTCCGATTTGGTTTTATTAACCCTTTCAGTACAGGCGTCCAATATATTGGACAACTTTTGTTTGTGCTTAAAGCTCGTTTTTTTTTGTTAAAATAACAGTTGTTTTGAAAAATGATATCATTCTTCTTCACCGCGTTTCTTTAATTGTATTTTCTGGATGCAGGTTACTGTGTTTGTTTCAAAAGTGAAAAGTGTCGCGAAAGTCAATAGTTAAAAGTGTAATATGTATCTTGAAAAATATTTACTGTTTTAAGTATTATTCATAGTTTTGAAATATATTTCGCGAAAGAAAAAAGGGTTAAGTAAGGTATATACATACATACATATATACATATGTTTGTACATACATACATACTTACTTACTTACATATACATTCATAGCTAAATTCCAAAGTCCATTGGCGAGCCACTTAGATAAGCCTTTTATAAAGAATTCTTTATTCATTTAGTGTGCACAACATTAAATTCTTTTGTAGCTTACTCATTCTAAAGTTACCAAAGATACTTTCGATGATAAAGTGTAATAGTTATATTTACCGAAATGGCTGTTATCAGTATATCAAGCAGCGAATCAATCAGTAAAAAGGTGAAATACAGACTTTTCTCCATCAATTGTGAAAAGAGAAACATATTTAAAAAAAAATTTAGCAAATGTCTCAACTCACCATAATCTTTCAAAATATAAGGAAATCTTTCCTAAGACAACTATCAATTCTGGCAACTACCTTGAAAGCTCTTTTCTGTCTTTCGAGAGACTAATTGAAAACATTGCTAACGATGAGGTCATAGCGTTATTCTCTTTACCTTTTATCAATTTATATATTTATCAATTTTATAAAAAAAAATTTACACAAAAATTTTTTTCTTTTTAAAATAATAAAAACAAACAATTAAAAGAAAATTATATTTAAAAAAATATTAAGTTTAAAACAAAGAAAAAATAAATAAATAAAAGTTTTTAAAAAGTACATTTAATTTTAAAAAATATTTTTTACAAATAAATTCTAAAATTTAAAGAAAATTAAAGAAAGAAAGAATAAAAAAATTTTGAAGAAAAAATAAAATAAGTTACCCAAAATTAAATTAAACTAAAAACAAAAAATACTTTAATTTTTAAAACAATAAACTCCAAAATAACAAAATTACCAATTAAAAGAAAATTACATTTAGAAAAATAATAAATTTAAAACAAAGAAAATTTAAATAAATAAAATTTTCTAAAAACTCGATTGAATTAAAAAAAAATTTACCAATAAAATCTAAAATGTAAAAGAAAATTAAATCAATAAGGAATAAAAAGCACTTAAGAAAAAAAAAATAGTTTCTAAAAATTCAATAAAACATATTTTTCTCATTAAAACAATACAATTTAAAAACTGAAAAAAAATTAAATTCAAAAATTGAAACAAATTCCTAAAAATTTTATGAAATTTAAAAAACTATTCTTCTTCTTATTTGGCGCTGTAACCGCCTAAGCGATTTTGGCCGAGTCCAAAACAGCACGCCAGTCATTTCTCTTGTGTGCTAACTGACGCCAATTGAAAATGCCAAGTGAAGCCAAGTCCTTCTCCACCTGGTCTTTCCAACGCAGAGGAGGCCTTCCTCTTCCTCTGTTCCCAGCATCGCGGCCCGCGTTGAATATTTTCAGAGCAGGAGCGTTTCTGTCCATCCGAACGACATGGCCAAGCCAGCGGAGCCGCTGAATTTTAATTCGCTGCACTATGTCTATATCGTTGTAAAGCTCATACAGCTCATCGTTAAATCGTCTCCGATATTCGCCATCACCAACGCGTAAAGGTCCGTAAATCTTTCGCAGAATCTTTCTCTCGAAAACTCCAAGAGCCGCCTCATCAGATGCTTTCATTGTCCATGCCTCCGCGCCATACACCAGCACAGGCATGATGAGTGACTTATAGAGTGTGATCTTTGTACGACGAGAGAGGACTTTACTTCTCAATTGCCTACTCAGCCCAAAGTAGCACTTGTTGGCAAGAGTGATTCTCCATTGGATTTCAAGGCTGGCATCATTATTGGTGTTAATGCTGGTTCCCAAATAAACGAAGTCGTCTACTTTTTCAAACTTGTAACTGTCAACAGTGGCGTGGGTGCCAAGACGCGTATGCTCTCACTGTTTGTGTGCTGACAGGAGATACTTCGTTTTGTCCTCGTTCACCACCAGACCCATTCGCTTTGCTTCTCTATCCAATCCCGAGAAGGCAGAACAGACGTAGCCCTTGTTTTTACCGATAATATCGATGTCGTCGGCATACGCCAGCAATTGTACGCTCTTATAAAGTATTGTGCCTGAGCGGTTCAGTTCTGCGGCTCTTATTATCTTCTCCAACATAAGATTAAAGAAATCACACGAAAGGGGGTCCCCTTGTCTGAAACCTCGTTTGGTATCAAACGGCTCGGAGAGGTCCTTCCCTATTCTGACGGAGCTGGTGGTATTGCTCAACGTCATTTTACACAGCCGTATTAGTTTCGCGGGGATACCAAATTCAGACATCGCGGCATAAAGGCAACTTCTCTTCGTGCTGTCGAAAGCGGCTTTGAAATCGACAAATAGATGGTGTGTGTCGATCCTATTCTCGCGGGTCTTTTCCAAGATTTGGCGTATTGTGAATACCTGATCTATGGTGGATTTTTCAGGCCTAAAGCCACACTGATAAGGTCCAATCAGCTCGTTGACGGTCTTTCGCACAATACGCTCGATAAGACCTTGTAACCTATGCTTAGAAGGCTAATTCCGCGGTAGTTGGCGCGTATGGCGGGGTCGCCTTTCTTGTGGATTGGGCAGAGCACACTTAAATTCCAGTCGTCGGGCATGCGTTCATCTGACCATATTCTGCATACGAGCTGATGCATGCACCTCATCAGCCCCTCGCCGCCGTACTTGAATAGCTCGGCTGGCAGGCCGTCAGCTCCAGCAGCTTTCTTGTTTTTCAGCCGCGTAATCGCTATTCGTACCTCGTCATAGTCAGGCGGTGGGACAGCCTATTATTCATTTAAAATAACCAAATCTAAAAACTAAAAACAAATGTAATGTAATAAGAAAAAAACCACACAATTTTGTAAAAACTAAATTAAATTAAGAAATCAAATTCTAAAAGAAAAAAATTTATCGAAATAGGAGAAAATACATAAAATTTAATTTGAAAACAATTATTAAAAATTAACGTGAGTTTCTAAAAATTAAATGAAATTAAAAAATATGTCTTTCCAGAACCTTAAAAACTAAAGCTTAAAGGGAAATTTAATCAAAAAAGAAAAAAGAATGGTTATAAATCTAAAAACCAATTGAAATTTATAAAATATTAATTTTTCGTTTTAAAACAACAAATGGAAAGAAAATTAAATTAAATAAAAAAAATGCGCTGCACGATGATTCGAGCCTCGGATCTCTGCAATGGCACGCAGGTGCTTCGCCCACTCGGCAATCGCGACTGCTGGAGCAGCGCGAGCAAAATATTATACAAATTTTCAGCTGCGCTCAATAAGATAGTAGCAAAATTCAAATGATTAATTTTCATTTAAAATATATATCGATCTATAACAGAAACTACATAAATAAAATATTCAAAGTATGCACAAAGTTCACAAAAATTAATCAAAATTTAAAAAAATTCCATCAAAATTTTAAACTTTTTATTCAGGATTTTTTGAAAATTTTAAGGTATGCAATTTTGTAGCCCATTCAATTTTAGTACAATAAAGTGCAAGTTTCAATTCACTAAAAATTGCTGTTAATTTTTTAGAAAAGTGTGTTGCGTATTTTGGACGTAGGGCTAGCTTAAGATCTTAAATAAGTTATTTACTTTTTTCCGCGAAAAATTCGATCTATAACCAAAAATACCTAACTAATTCGATGACAAAACCTCTAAGCAAGTGTGAAATCTGCTTTTTCACACTGTACTTTCGTAGAAAGTGCACTTAATCTTTATTTATGTACATACCTGTCTGTCTCTTGTTTGTTCTCTTTCTTCATATTTTTTTAACAGGAAACACCTAAACAAACACAAGTTGCTTCTTCTTCTTCAACTATTTCTTGCTGCATATAAACGGCGAGAGGTCAAAGTTCCAGCAGTGATAGTATTTTTTTTTTAATTTTCTTCTTAAACTCAATGTACGGTGAATGAGTTTCAAGGGGAACCAAATGTCTTGCAACATGCTTGTATATGCACATATGTACATTAGGGTGGTCCAGAAAAAAGTAAAAGTTGGAATTTTTATGCTCTCACTCCCCAGGATTTGTCTATACCGAAAGAAATATGCCGCTGTTTTTTTTATTTTGAGATCAAAAATGTATTTTATAAGTAAAAAAAAAATTTCGTTGTAACAGTATAGAGTTTTTTAAAATCCATATTCTGCGATCGAAAAACTCTCTTTCTTTGCAGGAGACTTCCAATAATACTACCTAATTGCTTATTTTACCATCTTTTACCACTACCACTACTATTTTTATGGGTCCTCAATTTTTTTTTTGAGTTTTTGGAGGACCTGTAAAAAATGGTTAAATAACAAATTTGGTTTTTTTACAGGAAGTCTCCTGAAGAAAAACAGAGTTTTCCGATCGATACTGATTTTCAAAAATTCTACAGCATTTCTGCTAGAAATGGTTTTTCCCCATAACGATAAAATAAATGGAAAATTTTTAGCGCTTTGAGCGATCTCGAAATATTTTTTGATTAAAAAATAATAAAAAAGTGGGCGTATATCTTTTTCGGAATAGAACAATTCTAGAGGGTGAGAGCATTCAATTTTCTACTTTACTTTTTTTTTTACCACCCTAATGTACATACTTTTCTATAAATACATGTGTACATATCCACGCACATAAATACTCAAAAGCAAGAATATTATGAATTTCTTCACGCGAATATGCGCCTAAAAATCTTATCAACTGTTTAAATTCTTATTCTTTGTATTATTGTTTTATGAGCTCCACACAATCTCCAGGCGCTTAGCTACAGGAAATATTACGAAAACATAACATAATTGCATACATTTTTCGCAATTATTTATTTCATTTACGTATGACTTTTTTATGTACTTAAATATATGTATATGCAAGTAATGTATTTTTTTCTCTCAATCGCTTTTTTTTTTGTTTTTTTTTGCAGATACGTCAAACTGATCTACATAGTGGCGGGTATTTTGATGAGCAACGAAAAAGTTTGCGAATCCGTCGACAAAATGCAAATCACACCGCGTGTCGAAGTCAAACAGATACTTCAGCCAAAGAAAGTCTACAAGGGAGTTGAGAAAGCATCGAGGAATTGGTTTCGCAGCTCCTATTGCTTCATAGTGAGTCGAATTAAGCAGCGTGCAGCGCCATTGTTGAGCATCTTCAACATTTGGACCATACCCAATTATTTGGTGGACTGCACAACGAATTTCATTAGCAAACAATTCATCGGCAGCGATTGTGATATGATTTATAATAGATAAATTTTATGCAAATCAATTGAATAATATTTAATTATACATATATGTAAAAGGGAGACTAGGCGCTTAACGCCTGGGTATTATACCTTCTTAATTACATAGAGGGTATACTTATATTTGAATATAGTAATTTAATTTATAAATATAATTTTAAGTTAGAATCGGTAAGATGCAATTTGCTACTTTCTCTCATAGTTTTAAGATTTTTCAATTCAACATTGTGACCAATTCAATTTGAGACATTTATTAATACATATAAATATGTCGAGTACTTAGTTGCAAGTACATACATATGTATTTAGTTTATTTTTATTTTATTGCGAAATGTTTACATAAAGACGGAAATTTTTATTAAATAAATTTTTGCTTTACATACATACATACATCCATTTATTGAGTGATTTATTTTATGTATTTGCAAATAACATTTCTTTACTTCTCTTCTTTATTTTTTGTTTGCTTACACTCGCATAACTTTTCCATTTTTTTTTTCTTTAACAATTTACACCTATTTCAACAATTTTAAGAGTTCCACCGCTGTACATCCTCTATTCGCCCAACGAATGCTGCGAATTATCGGAATTATCTGGACTTACATTGGAGCTGCACGGTGATCTATCGCCTCGCACATGTAGCGTTGTCTGCAACATACTTGTTATGGTATCCACGTCTAGCTGCTCATCGGTGGTCGAAATTTTGCGCATAGCTTGGCAAACCAAACTCAAGTCGCCCTTTAGTTCGCTCACAAAAGCGGTGATCTTCTGCGCATTCGAGAGCACCTCCACCTCCTGCGTATAAGGATTGTAGCGCACGCCGAACGGGCGTTGTATGCTGTCGGCGAAATTTCTGAAATATGTATAAGCATTTAAAAGATAATACAGCAGTTCTATGAAAGACTTAAAGCTATAAGAGTGGCGCGTAATTTTAGTACCACGAAAATTTCGCAAAGTCACGGATTTTTTTAAAAAAAGTATATAATTGTGAAGTCGTGGTGTGCGACTTTCATTCGCGCGACATGCCAAAGCGTGTTCAATAGCGCTGCGATTTGCACTCCCTAGTACAAGAGGTCTCCCCGTGGCGACACCTGTCCAAGCCCTGGCGGCTAATTCTAGTGGCGGTCCCTCCTTAATCCCCACACCTGTGTTTTACTTCAGTTCGAAATACCTACAAGCTTTCCACTTACTACTTTTTGCAGGGCTGGATCAATGTGTCTTACGACCGGTGCTGGGAATCCTAAAAAAAATCCCGCCGCGAACGGAGTGTTCCGAATACCGGCGACCTTTGTAGCTAACAAGCCTTACCTGGGTACTGCGGATCTCTGCCCTCTCGGACGATCCACTTTCTGCGCGTCTCGTGGGACCAGATTATGAAAAACAAATTAAAAACCTCAACGGGAGTACGGGAGTGCGGCACTCCAAAACAGAGGCCACGGCACCACCGGGTCTAACTCAAAGCAGCCCTTTACGTAGGCACACAACCGGTACATCCCTACACCCATCAGCCGAGAAGTTCAAAGGCCAATGTCACGCATAGAAGTAGCATTGGGCGGAAGGCTTGCACGACAAGCATAGAAACTCGCCGCTCAGCGAACAGCGTCTGGTCAGCCTATTGTGGGTGGATCCAAGAACTCGGTGGGTCGCAATAGGGCCAAGAACTTCGTCCGAACAGACAGAACGAAGGCCACCTACCAAGACCGACGTACCGCTTCACGAATTCTCCATTTTCAGGCCGCCTCACCGATCAGGGAGAATCAGGTATGAAAGGAGGACCCTGCGAAAGTGTGCTCTTGGCACATAGCGAAGGCAAGAAAATTTGTCCCGGAATTCGGCCGAAACTAAATTGGTATGACAGGAGCCACAAAACTTCAAAGATCTATGGGGGAACCCTCGGCACTGGGGCTATCAGCCTGGGTACCTGTAACGCCGTCCAAACCAGCAGAAATTTTCAAAATGCTGTATGAATTCAATCCCAGCATTTCAACACAGGACGGGCAAGAATACAGGTAGTCCTCCTCTTGAGCAACGAAAACCTGAAGGCGCTAGCAAATGCTGAGTGCCAGGTTAACCATGGCTTCGGGAAGATTACACTTCAAGTTTATAAAACTTTTAAACTTGGCAGTCTGTGTGGAGGCGGACGAGGCACCAAGGGACCATGGGATGGAGATTGAACGAGAATTATCTTTTCGACTCCCTCCCCAGTTGGCATCAGGCGGAGTTACTGGCTATCCAGGCGGCCACTCAGCACCTAAGGGGAAGACCCGAAAAAGGAAAATAGAGGTATTTATCTTCTCTGACAGTCAAGCAGCCCTGAAAGCTCTAGACTCACCTGAAGGTAAGACAAAGTCTCTCACTGAATGCCACAGATCTCTAAACGAGATGGGGCAGCATTATAGAATTAAACTCATATGGGTACCTGTATGTCGGTATATTGAGGGCAACTGCAAATCTGAAGAATTGGAACGAGGAACGGTCCTTCCGGAGAAGGACGCGGTAGGTATACCAATGGTCATATTCAAACTACACTTTATGAACAGTTCCATACAAGCAAGAAAAGTAGGTTGGGGAAACCTCTCCTTCTGTGAAACTGCTAAGCTTACGATGATGAGAAGAAGATGAGAAGAAGGGAAGGGATATGCCAATCTCTAAAAAACCCTCTCCACAACACTTTTCGAAGATAGCGGAAATCAACATAAGAGCAATATTAAAGTTCATTACGGTAACGAAATGGTTTGATCCCGAGTACAACATCAAATTGTTATAAATATTTGTTTATATCATAATTATTTTTCGTAGCAATCCTTTAATAAACAGTAAAAAATGTGTGTTCCTATCATTTGTTTTGAAAATACATATTATTATTTTTTCCATGACTGCAAAATTTTTGTATTACTCCTAACGTGGCCTTATCCATCTAAATACTACTTATAAATAGTTATACCTCATTTGCTCCTTGGCCTCCTCGAATGAATCGGTGTAGTAGTAAGCATTTTGATAGGATGTTATAATACATTCTTCTTGACAAGTTATATCCGGATCGAATTTTTTTATTTTATCCGCAGCGGTTATAGCATGTTGTAGTTCGGCTACAGAGCTTAAAAGACCAGCGCCGTATACCTTGAATGTATTATCCTGTTGCTTGCACAGCCCAAATTCAACCGTGAAAAAATATAACTGGACGAAAAAGTTCACAAAATATGTAGAATATTAGCAAAGAAATAATTTAGAAATTTATTAAATTAACATAGAACTCATAAAAAAGTGGTAAGCAAAGATCTTGACTTTGAGAATTTAAAAATAATAAAATACATATTGTCTTTTTGTTAAACCGTATACAAAGAAGTCTTTTAGGCAGCGGAAATAACCTTTCAAATAAGTTCGTTTTCGGCTCGAATAGCTTCCCGGTTTTAAGGTTTTCGAAGGTATTCTCAGTTTATTTAAGTGCTAACGCAAATCTAGAGTTCACACCAGGGGTCCACTCTGTATTGCGATTCGAAAGGCGAGACGGACTAATACAAATTCATAGTGCCAAGTATTCGAATCCGAACGAATTTCTTTTCAAATTACAACACGGAGTAGACCCCCAGTGTTGCCTTTTATGGGGCAAGGCTAGCTGTATGTTAACGATATAAGCAGCTGAAGAGGGAAGAATGAGTCCGAAATACAGCTTACAGAAGATGTCAAGACCAAAGCGATATTCCTGTGAGCACAGCCACGGCGACCTTGTGACCGATATTCAGAATATACTTAAAGTATAGAGAGAACACTCTTCCACCCTATTTAATGGAAACAGCACTGAAAGTAGTGGAAAAGATGAGCCCGAGCACCTAGTCGATGACGACAGAAGCGATGACCTGCCGCCTGACTATGACGAGGTGCGAATAGAAGTTTCACGGCTGAAAAGTAACAAAGCTGACTGCCAACCGAGCTATCCAAGTACGGCGGCGCGAGAAGTCGGATGAACGCATGTCCGACGACTGTAATTTAGTCGCACGAAAGCTGCTGATAGAATTCTCGCACTGCATTTATATCTGGCAGCATCTTAAGCTCTTCGTACACACGTGCTTCTGCTTTTCCCAAAAATTTGTCTTTCTTCCCTCCAGATACCAGTCGCCAGCTATTTCTGCGTGACTGGTAATAAGCATAGCGGTGTGAAGTGATCGAGAGATGGAATTTCACTACAGAATTAAGAGCCGATTGTCTGTTGTGACTGCAGCAACTCGATCTTTCGGCGCGATGACTGACGCACGTTCTTTATTGCACAGAGATGCATTCGCACCTCCACCGCAAGAAGATAATGGTCCGATTTGATGCTGTGGCTCCTCGCATGGAACGGGCATCAAACACGCTTGAAGCGTATCTTCTTTCCCAAGTGGCTTTTGGGGGTTTCGATGATGATATCTGGTACCAGCAAGATGCATTCTGCTCTAAATTAACCCAATGGAGTCCACTGTCTCCCAATTTATCAAAAAAGGAAGGCCAATTTGACCAAAACCCAATTGAGTGGAACAGAGATTGAGTTCTCACAAGAGGCAAAATATTTTGGGTGAAACTAGACAAGAGACTCAATTGGAACTAACATCTCACAGCAGTTACCAATTAAGCCAGTAGAGCATTTATTGCTTGTCAAAGATTCCATGGTAAAACTTAAGGAATATCCTCGCCGCTAAGGTACTGGCCATTCAATACGGTGATAAAACCGAATGTCACTTATGCAGCACTAGTCTAGTGACGAAAAGCCAAGCAAGCAAGCACCAGCGTCACAGGCATACCGCCTCTAGCTACACTTATAGAAAAAGAGGTCTGCTGGAGCGCCCTGAGACTGCCGAACTTAAGTAGCTTGCACAGTGGGGTTACCATTTGGGTGTCCTAAAACTCGTAGCCAAACTTACAGCCTCAATGCTACCGAAATTGACTTGTATAAAGCCTAAAAGATAATATTATCTGTTAAAAGCTAATCGCAATGTTCAGCGCGGCATTTCAAGTTTGGTACACTGATGGATCCAAACTTGAGGATAGCCGGCTGAGATTTCCAGGCGGAAATTTTCACAATTGAAGTCTGTGTCCACGAATATCTTCGCAGAAAGACTAATGCGGCATGGTGAAATTATTTTTTTTTTTTTACGTTCGGCTAACATATAGAAATGGTTAAAGGCAATTTTTCAAATAAGATAGTGTCATATCTTGCTTCTCTTAATTTCACCATGCTATTGGGGCAATAAAAATCATGTCGGATAACCAGACAGAGTTAAGAGCAGTTGATTCTTTAAAAACGGTGTCGAAGCTAGTAGACAGTAGCAAAATGGTACTGGAAAACGAGGTCCCAATAACAGAGTTGCTTGTGGTGGGTTCAGGGCCAAGGGCGTTACCATGGCAATGAAAGGGCTGACACCCTAACAAAATGCAGTGCCTAACGGAGCCTGATCGTTTCACAGTATTTCGTTTTTCACCCAGAGGATACACGGCAGAGCTCCTAATTGCCCGTCTCCACAGGCAAAAGTTTTTGCCTACCAACTGTCATTTTTATTGCCTAATAAAAATTTTATCAGCGGCAATATTTGTGCGTGGCCATTTTTTATCTTGATAAAAGCATTTATAAGATGGCAATTTTTTCCGGATTTCATCAATTAAAAAGTTTAAAAAATATGCTACTTCACACCCAAGCAAATAATAACACATATTTTAATAGAAAACAGTTCAATTTTTGCTTTTATATTGAAATTTCGATAATGTTGTCTCCACGAAGCTATCGCGCAAATAAAAATGTAGCTGTCAAAGTACCAAATTGCTGGCAATATTTATCAAGATAAAAGCTCTGATAATTATTGCTTGCCAAGAGCAATATGCGGTCTCCATGGGCAAAATTTTGCCTGATAACATTATCAAGATAAAAACTTTTGCCTGTGGAGACAGCAAGTAAGGAGATAGCTGGACGCGCGAATTGTAACTCAATAGCGAACGATAAACTCAATCCAAGATATTCATTACTTACTCTCTCTCGTGGAATCTCTCAGCGACTGCTAAATCTTAGCAGAGATAGTTTAAGAACTCTCACCGGGTAACTGACAGGATACTGCAGGCTGAGGTGCCATCTATAAAAAATTAGACTTACTGATTTAAGAAAAAATCCACCGTTTCCAAAAATAGGTCTAATTTGAATCCTGTCATATTTAAACGCGACTACCTTCACGGAAAACGTGGATATTTAGTTAGAAATAATATAAGAAAGGAAATAGAGATTTTTAAGGCCAAATATCGTTTTCTAATTTTTGCTTATTTAAATTACAACACCGAAAACAACCTTGAAGCGCTAAAAATTACTTCCTAAGTTATTTTCAAGCCAAATTAAGTGAAAAAATTTTGTTTAAATTTATGATAAAAAAAAACAAACCGTTGCTAATTTTTCAATATCTGCATCCTCCGCACCCAATGAGGCCAAACCGATTTCCTGTGAGAATTGAGCAAAACTGGCATTAGCTAGCAGAGGCATATGACCCAAAAGCTCGTGACAGCAGTCACTAAAAAAATAAATAAATAAACAGGAAAAATGCCGCATAGCTAAGTTTATTAGATATTCCAAGCTTGCACCACTCACGGTTCCGGCGTGTAAAACGGATCTGAAGAATGTCTTATATATTGTGTACAATGGAATACACGAAAAGCCAAACCAGACAAAAAGTCACGTGGTGATAAATACCCAGCTACTGGACGTAGTTGAAAGCCCGTCTTGCGTTTCAAATAGTTGCTAACATCCTCCAATTGCGGCAGATTGTCCTCACGGTAGCCACAGTACTTAACCAGTTCGGGCCAATTTTCCATATACTCCGGCACTGCATGTTTGGCATAGAGGCGATGCAGTTCACGAAAGACGGTGCCCCTGAAAAGTAGCGCAATTTATCGGCCATAAAAGGCGTATGTACATACATACAATGGTAGTTTGCATTGCAACAACCAGCAGGCAAGATGTGTGTAAGAAAATCAGTAAGTTTATCTACTAACTATGTAGAACGTTAATTGATTTACCTATAACTTTTATGCATTGCGGTATGGAAGCTTCGCTAGTACACACAAATACTTACCAAGTTTTTATCTCATCCGGCGTGTAGGTCACACGTGGTATTGGTTGCCCACTATTGATTTTGTAAGGAAGTGAGAGTTAAAGTTCGAGAGATGGGAAAATATATGGAAGTATATACATAAGTACAAAAAGAAGTTATCCATTAAAAGTGTTCATAAACTTACTTCTTATAGTTGTTCGCTATGGCGGTAAATTGCTCGCGTCGCTTGCGATAAATGGGATCTTTGAAACCTGGATGATCAGCATCCAGCTCGGAACCGTACATTAGCACATTTTGTGCCTTATCCAGGTCGGAAATTTTGCGCGGAAACCAAACCATATCGCCAAAATCTGGCAACGGTTAAACATTTATTAATTTTTAAGTGTGAAATAATTGTTTACTTTTTCTGTATGTAAATAAGTATGAATTTCGAAAACCTACCAAAGCTAGAGCGTGTTGATAAGGATGGCGCACGAAACATTGGATGTACGGTTGTATAATTTACAGATTGTACCTCACGATTAAGCATTTGCAGTACTTTATCCAGCCGTCGGGCATCACATTCCACATCGACGAGTACATCAGCCTTAATAGTAAAATAAATAAGCGTAAAATATTGGAGATCATGAATGAGGATTACAACTAGTTAGGCATTTACAGATTGTGAATATGTAACTCAGTGAGAGGAGAGACAAGGTTGTATATATGTACACAAAAAATATTTATAAAATCAAAAAATATTGGGTAGGCAGTGTGTTACCACCTCTGCAGGGTTGTAACTAATTCAGAGTCTGCAACTAAAACCCGGACGAGTTGGCTAGAGAATGCGTCAAGCTAGACTGAGCAGTACTTTAATATGTACTGTTATACATACATATGACAATTGAGAAGTGTATATCTGAAACTTTCATAAATTTCATAAAGGAAATTTTTCACATGCGGCGCTGCAGATATATATTATAACTTTTATAAGTAAATATTAGAAGAAGAAGAGATAATAATAATAATAATAGATTGGCGCTTACACATATGTTAGTGTTTGGCCGAGCTTCTCCTCCGATTTGTGGCGTGCGCCTTGCTGTTTTCACACAAAGCGGAGGGACCTACAGTTTTACGCCGACTCCGAACGGCGATGGTGTTTTTATGAGAAGCTGTCTTTCATGGCAGAAATACACTCGGAGGTTTGCCATTGCCTGCCGAGGGACGACCGCTGTTAAGAAAAAACCTTTTTTCTATATTTTTTGCGATGTTGCTTTGACCAGGGCTTGAACCCAGGCGTTGCGGAGTGGAAGCGCGCACTGCTTACCACTACACCACAGCGGCCGAAGAAGAGATAGACCCATTAAAAAAGTATACGAAAATGATTAAAACGTCGAGCTGAGTCCATTTCATGTCCAAATGTATGTTTGAACGCAATCTAGTTACTCAGTTTTCAATATACTCGACTCAAATTCTATAATTTGCATTTTAGAATGCATTTATCACTTGACGGAGACGGCCAAATCAGGCCACCACAACATATAGCTCCCAAACAACTGATTGTTCATATAAGAGGCATTGCGTTATAACTCCTGAAATTTCCCACAATTTTCACTTTTTATCAACAGAGAGTTTACAGAGAAAATAACAGAGATCAGGTCACTATAACCTGTAGCTTGCATACAACCGAATTTTCAGATATTAGGTTTTATTTAAAAATTTCTTCATTTAGACAGCTGAAGCCATGCAATTTCATTGGTTATTTACTATTTAATCATACAAGGTCTACTGAGAAAATCATTAATTTCGGTGCTCTATAAGGTATATCGCTCATATCACTGGTTGCTCCTTAAAGTAGGCAGCTAAAGCTATGCCGTTGTGTGGTCTGTTAACTTACAGTGATGAACAAAAGTATTGGCACAGAGCACTTTTGGCAATGTATGCAAAGTTTTTTACTCTAATTTCTTTTCGCCAATATTTTATAAAAGTATAAGTAGTTCATACTACAACAAAAAACATAAAATTAATATCTCTAAACTTTGTGTACAGCGCAGGAAAATTAAATAAATTTTCATGCTAATTTGCAACTTTCTAAACAGATTTTTGTAGAAAAATTTTGAGTCTGCAGTTGCATAGCCCATTCAATTTTAGTATAGTAAAATAAAGTTTGAAGTTTGTTCAGTGTTTCCATACTCATTTTCATAAACAAAATTTTACCACGATGATGGAAAATAATGGTTAATTAGAGCTACCGAAATTGTTCCTAAATTTGCAAAAATTCGCAAACTATAGCTAATATTAAAAAAAGATTAGAATATTTGAAACCGGCGACCTAAATGCACGCCAGCAATATTAATGCTGTTCTTTACATTTTTTGACTATAGGCCAGTGCAATTATCAAGACAACAATTAAAATTTTATTGAAAAAAGATCACTTTGAGTTTAACGATCACCTAAAGGGCTGCGAGAAATATATTTGACTTTATCTTTTGCGTTAACGGATTAATTATCTAATAATATGCTCCAAACGTTTTTGCTGAATTGGTCTTATTCGACTAGTGTGCTGTGGGTCACATGACGGTCGATGCGCGGGCTCTTACAATTAAAATCAAAGACTAATATTTTGCAGGCTTGTTGTTGACTTCATGATACACTATTATTTTCACTATTTCACTATTACCAAGGGATTTGAGAAAAATGTAGCTCCTAAAAAATTGATTAAACATAAAAAATTGCGCGTGAATTCCACCCGCGGATGAAGGTGAAACTTCTTCTTACCGAATACATATCTCACCATATTCAACATACAGTGGCGGGAAAATAAATAGGAACGCGATTATATAAACAATTTTTATACGCATTTTTGTAGCCCATTAAATTTTAGCACAGTTGGAATTGCATTTTCTTCCATACAAAGTATATCTGTCAACTTTTTTTCTATGGAGGGAGCAAGAAAAAAATTGCGAAAAATCAGCGGCAATTTTTAGCTACTTCAAGCTTTGACTTTATTATATTAAAATGTGCTACAAAACAGCATACCTAGAATTTAATTCTGAATAAAAGGTATGCAATTTTTATGAACATTTGTTGAAATTCGTCGATTTTTTATAAATCTTGTACCAACTTTGAAATTTTTACTTACCTGATTTTTGTTAGAAAGAAAAATGTCCAAAACTTGTTAAAATGTCGCCTCCCTATTTGTTTGCCCGCCACCGTATGAGTATTTTTCTGCAGTTATCTTATTTAAAATTTTACTTTCAAGATTAATCTGAACCTAATTCTCTCTATCTTTGTATTCATCTTCATCTTCATCTTCATCTCCATTTTCATTTTCTTTTTCATCTTCATCCTCATCTTCAACTTCATTTTGATCTTCATCTTAATCTTCATCTTCATCATCATCTACATTTTCATCTTCACCTTAATCTTAATTGTGGTCTTAATCTTAATCCAGATTTCTTAATTGTAATCTTAATCTTAAACTTAACCTTATTATTAATCTTAATCTCACTCTTAAACCTTAATTGTGCCCAACAGCCGGCATTTCATTCCTTCTTCTGCCGCTTTTCAGTTTCATCGGAATTTGGATTTACGCCCAACCGAGCGCAAAGAAGTTTATTTTCAAAAGGCAGCAATAGGACTTTAATTTAAGTTAAATTTTCTATTGTCCATTAAAGGTATGAAGTCTTCGGTATATATATGTACATACATATATATTTATGTATGGCAGCAGATTTTATTAGAAGTTTCATTTCAAGCTTGAAATGTCCTCGAGATCTGTCATTGCCTGTCGCCTGTCGCTGAGCCACTGATAAAGAAAAAACTTTTCCCCAATGACAACCACACAAACCCGGTCTGCTACATATAGCTATTATGACAATACAATAACAACGCTAATAAATATTAATCGAGCTTGAGAACAACATTAAAAATTGTCTATAATAAATAATTGAAAGTGATTGCACAAACAAAAAAAAAACATTAAACCGCATTTCTTTTCCGCCCATTTGATTGATTGTACATATTAATTATCGTCTGCCCATACAAGCGGCGATAACTCCAATTAGTTTATTGATAATGATAGGGCTTAATCTCTTCACAATACGAATATGCACTTACATGTGTACGTTAAGCAGGGTCGGACGTCAAATGAGATTTTTAAACTAAAGCTAGAAATTTGTCTACATGATTTAAGAAAAATAGCGAACCACTTTTGACCAAAATCCAAATATCGCAACCTCTGTTTAAAGAGAAAAAAATTTGCTCCTTTACAATTTCTTAGGCGTTGAACGTTTTACTTTTTTGGAGACATTTCCAAAACACCCTGATTTCTTTCAGACCTTTTTTGATGCTTTGGACCAAGGGAAAGGCAAACTACAGATATTTTAATTCTCTATTCGATAAAGTAACGATTTCCAATTTTCTAGCTACAGAGGTTGTTGTACTCCGTTTTTGGTAAAAAAAAACGAGTAGTTCAAAAATTTCTAAAACCATGTAGTCCAATTTCTATCGTACCTTAAAAATCGCATTTGACGACCCTGCCTAATGTGCATAAATACATACATACATATATGTATATGTATTTACGATTGATAGAGCAGTGGTAAAGAAATTTCATCCTATGAAAATAAATTAAAGATTTTGATAAAAAAAAACACTACGGATTGAAATGAGCAACGCTTCGTTCAAGGTCCACTTTTTGTTCAAACATGAGGACCTTGTACTATACGATTCAATGAAACTTGAGTAAGAGTTGAATAAGAAACCAGTAAGGACTGTGTTGGTTTCGGCTGTGCTGAAGGCTTTATACCTTTCATGAAGCGCAGAGAATTTAACTTCAACCCATTACTGTGCTATTAAATGGAGAGGAGGCTATAACACAAAACCTCATATCTAAACAATCGGTTCTATGGGGGCTATATGTATGTATGTATGTATGTTATAGTGGTCCGATTTTGCCGGTATAAAAAGACATCCGCTTAACGAACATCAGTCGGATATCTCGACAACTGATCATTTTGGTATACGTTTTCATCAGTCTATTTCTTATTCTTCTTGGTAGTTACGAACATCGGACCAAAGTTATAATACCATTTCATGTTCATGCAGGATATAAAAAGAGTTTGCGCAGTGTTAGGGTTTAGCTTTGCCGAAAAAGTATTAAATAACATCCCTTATTAAAATAAAATACAGTGGTATCGCAATAATTCTTACCCCATAAAGTCGAATATCTCAATAATTCAACAATCCCTTGGTGGCTTGATGAAATTTAATTTATCCGCAAAATTGCAATACATTATATACCGCCTCCGAGCGGCAAATGGGTTTCTGTGAGAAACTTTTTCATAGCAGAGAATTACAGTCGAAGGTTTGCCATTGTCTGCCGAGGGGTGACGCACAGTGTGGAAAACAATTTTTTGTTTGTGCCAAAATATAATATGTACATATCTGGGTATTTATTTTTTTTTTTTGACATGGAGAATTCACAAAAAATAAACTTGGTTGGTTAAAGAAAAACTACCTTACCCTTAAAAATAAAACTCGTACAAGTTTTTTTTTGTTCTTTTTTGACCTGTAAAATGTTTTTAGGTAAACAAATAGTAAAATACAAGCATTTTACATTTGAAGGTCGGTTTAAGATCCATTGTTCATTCAATCAGACGTTTAAAATTACCTTTAAAGCTAAATTTTAAGATTTTTTTTGTTTTCTTTAGACCTACACAAAGCAAAAATTAAAAGGCATTTTTCGATTTTTGCGGCCTTGGATTCCTTGACGCAAGAACAGGAAAAATATATATTTAAAACTTTTAAAATGTTGATTACACTCTTTTTAACTCAAAAAAAAGAAAAAATCTAAAAACCTTCTATTTCGAAGGTCATTTTAAAGGTCAAGCTAGTTTTTTTATGAAACGAGACTACTTTTCTGGAATTCTTCATCTCGAAAGCTTACATTAATTTCCCAGTGTTTTCTCTATTCCCAGATATTTTATTTTGTCACAAAATAAAGTTCTTTCTCGACACTGTGCGACCGCTATTACCAGGGATCGGATCTTGGTCCTACGAAGTGAAAGTTCGCATCTCGATTAATCGGCCACGTCGACCCCGGCAGACAAAAATTGTGAGCTGCGACGTTCTACAAATTTTAATGTCGTCAAATCATTTGAAAAAATTCTTTCAGCAGCGCTAATACATATATGTGCATTAGGGTGCATCACTCTCCACAAAAAAAGCAATGCTGGTTTTTTCATCGGAGTCAAAAAACAAATATTCCCAAAAATTATAAAGCAAAACAAATACAATTTTCTCCAATTTGCTTTTGCTTTGCATGTCAAATTATGAGAACAATTTATTCGCATGGAATTAGCGATACGTGAGCTGGATCTTTTTGAAAACACCCACAAAAATCTAGTTTTTTATAAATAAAATTAACTTAAAAAAAATATTGATCGAAAAAATCCCCTCAGCTGATAGAAGTGTTAAAGCTTAAATATCTACATAAAAATGTTCAAAAAATGTATCAACGGCATCAAGATTATGATATTATTGGATATTTTCAAATCGTTCCATTTCACGAGAATTTTAATATTTTTCCGAAATTCTTTAGATGGAAAACCCACATTTTTTTTTTTTTTGTTTTTTTTGTTTTTTTTTGGTGAGGCACCCTAATGTACAATAATTAAAACATATTAAACATTGGATTACGCTCAATTAAATTTTTCCATAAAAAAAATTGCGAAAAAACGGGTGTCTTTTACCTGTCAAGCGAGCCCAATTATTTTATGATAAAAATATTTTATAAAACTGGCTTTGTTAATAAAGTTTGTAAAATACTCAATCAACAAATTTAAAGTTGGGGTTTATGAGGATTCGTTGTCATTTCTTTTAAAATTTTTTTTACAAAGAATAAAACTAACCCTTCACGTTGCATCTACATACATATGTATATCTAATTTAACAGCAGATAACTCACCTGGTTGCTAGCTTTCTCCAAAGGAGATAATTCCAAATGTAGGACATTAATGCCCAGCTCCTGAAAAACTTGCAATGCTCTGGCCAAATTGCCAACTTGATTTTTCAGCGTAAAAATTATAGAAACACGATCGCCCGACATGGCTTGAGAATTTGCATCACTTAATTCCAAACTGCCTTTCGCACTGCCGCTTTCAGAATTCGACTTATCCTAAATCGAAATTTGAAATAAAACTATATTCACAAACTGGATTTTTTTTTTTTTTAGAGACAATTTTGTCGAAACGCTTACAAGACTGCGATGCTCTTTGCGTAGTGTATGCAGCGGGCTACCATGCTTCACAGCCCACTCCTGCTCACCGCTGCGATAGAGCCATAGTCCCAATAAACTTTTGCCAGAAGCGCTCTTTTTTTTTTTTTTTTTTTTTTTTTGAATTTATGAGTTATAAATTTCAGAAATGCACAAAATTTTTACTTTCCACAAAAACTCTAGGTATAGAGAAAACAAAAAATTAAAACCGTTTTACGAACGCGTACTTTCCGGACAACTCGTCGGGCCGATTTCTGAAAGGAAACTGCAAGATCCTAATGCCGTGTAGGGTGCTTTTATAGCCTACAACTAGGCAGCAAACAATGATAAAACCGCTCTTGCCACATTTTCAACTCCCACATGGATAGCAAAATGTTGTATTAACATTTGCTCCTTTTTCTACTACCAGCATTTTTCATCAACATATTCCCAGCGAGCATTTATTGCTGTGATTAAGGAACACTTGTTGGATTAAGTTAAAAGAAAGTTGACTCTAAAGTTAGTGGCAGCTCACTTATGTCAATTTCAATGGACTATTTGTCACAAAAGATGACAAACGTACGTAGATGGCACGTACTCCCTAGGTCATGACAAAAACAATGACAGTTGTCATCCTTTAAGCGCGTAAAATCAATACTTTGCGGTATAGTTTTAGGCGCACTAATTAAAATTTGCTGAGTTTTGTCATTGCTACTCGCACGAAAATAAAATTGTAAGTCCTTACAATGAATTTATTTAGCTCATTGGGTTCAGTTTGCCTTACACCATAACGTCGATGAGTTTAGCAGTATGTCTGTGCGTGTGTATGTGTGAAGACAAATTTACAAGGATATAAAAGCTGCAACTGATATTTGCACATTGCTTTCTTCACACAATCTCCACCTCTGTTTTTCTATTCTTGAACTGTAGCAACAAGTGAGTGTCTATTATAAAGAGGCAACCAACTGTTCTGATACAAGTGGCAAGTGGCAAGTTGGCGTGCTTAAGTTTATGCTCGCCTGCAAGCGGCTTTGAATTGGCCAAATCATTAAATAGTCAGGAGGGCATACCCGATTTGCCACACACAAGTCGCAGTGCTGAGGGCAAACTCAGAAGCATTTCGAGTTGACACTATCAATTGCTGGATGACGTAGAATTTGTTCGATTCAAGCATGAGTTGGCTAAAAAAAACAAATGGTCTCGACTCATTTCACTACAATGAAATGGAAACTTTATCGTTTCGAAATTGTTTTTGTAGTTTTGTTTTTTTCCTGTTGTGAACTTTTATATTTTATTTTATTTTTATTTTTATAAAGTAGTTCAAGTGTGCTAACTCATTTTCATGCGGGCTTATACGCACATACGTATATGAGTATAAATACTGTATGTATGTATGTTCAATCCCACAAGTTTTGATTTGTGCAACAAGTGAATTTACAAGTAGTTTTAAAATTTAAATTGTTAGATTTGACCTCCATTCATTCCAGCGTATTTCGGAATTGGGTTGCCACCTAAATTTTAGAGTAAGAAATTTTACTTAATAGATATCGAATTCCAATTTTTTTTTCCAAAATATTTTTTTAAAGCTATCCAAATGTTGAAAATATTAAAAAGTATATGCACTCCGGGCAAAGCTCGGTCAACCTGGCACTAATTTTGAAAAGCAATATAAGTACGGTTATTGGTCATTAAACTAAATTTGTGAATTCGGACGTTTTTATTAGAAAAACAAGAAGTTTAAGGAAGTCAAAGTACATGCCTACAATCTTCCAATAAAAAGCTTAAATCAAATTTGTTTGTAATTTTAAAAAATCTGCCTAATTTATAAATACTTTCAAAACAATAATAACAAAGAGTTTTGGATCTAGTGAAAGGCAGTAAAAACACAACAAAAATACTTTAACGGCGCAAGGAAGCATGGCGGGTTTTTGCTAGTTTTTAATACATATGAAAACATATGTACAGTCAGTGTCAAATGTAAGTGTACATCTCGTTCTAATATAATATTTACAATTATTTTCATTGAAAAATTTTTTCTTTAATTATTTATGAAATTATAGTTCATTGTAAAACATAAACCATATAAATCAAAATTTCACTCTTTATATAAAAATCACAAAAATTCAAACAATTTTCATCAAAATCGCAAACATTTTTATTCAGAATTTCCAGAAAATTTTACAGTAGGCAGTCTTATAGTTCGTTCAATTTTAGTGTAACAAAGTGCAATTTTCTAGTTTCTAGAAATTACCGTTGATTTTTTTAAATTTTTTTTTTGTTTGTGGAGGGTGTTGCGCATTTTTCTTCATATCAAAAAAAATTTTGATCACGCGTTATATGGAAGAAAACGCGCAGCACCCTCTACAAAAAAAAAAATCCAAAAAATCAACGGTAATTTCTATCGACTTGAAACTTGCACTTCGTTGACCTTAAATTGAATGGGCTACAAAAGTGCGTACTCGGAAATTTTCTAGAAATTCTAAATACAAATTTTGAAATGTTTAAGAAAATTTTTTTAATTTTTATGAACTTCATATAAAGTATGAAACTTTAATTTAAATGGTTTATTTCATAGAATGAACTATATTTTCGTAAATAATTAACGAAAAAAAAATGTCACGAAAATAATTGTGAATATTATATTAGAACAAGGTGTACACTTATATTTGACACTAACTGTATGTAAGTAGAACAGTTCAAACTTACTGCTTTTTTCTTTGTGCAAACGTTTCTTGACAAATAACCAAAGGTATCCTCTAGTAGCTTCATCAAATCATGAGAAATAGTTGGTACACACTTTCCTTCTTCTTTTCCATTTCCTTTTGCACTAAATACACGTAATAAATCGTTGATAATAGTCAAAGTGCTTTTATTTGTTAAACGACAGAAGATGTTTACTTTCCCCGATCTCCGTTAAATGCGCCACTTTCAAGTTCACAATCAAAGCGGAATGAAAGCGAATGTTTAGGTAGCGAATATCCTTCGACTAGCGACGCCATCATGGCCATGCTTAAAGTATCTACGAATATATTGCATACATATGAATGTATGTACGTATGTATTCATGTATGTATGTATGAAGGTGGGAAATCAATTGTGTAAAAGTGCTACTAAATAGATATAAAAATAAAACTACGCGTAAGCAGCTACTTACTATTAAAATATGCGCATACGAAACCGTTAGCACTGCAACTAGCGTGGGTGAATGAAAACGGTTTGCATTATATGCTATGCTACTACATACATACTTATTGACAGACTGACTTAACAAATGGCCGACTAAATGATAGACTGACAGCCTCCTCGTGTCTGCTTTTATCGGCAAGCAACGCATAGAAATATATATGTATGTATGTAGATTTGTTTGTATGTATGTATGGATAGAACTGCATTCATCACATCCTTTCGGTCTCCCACTTGTTTCTCCTATTCTATTGACTTTTAGAGTTAATTTCCTCAAAGGAGCTACAGCCGTAGAAAATTTCAACTTTTTTAAGTTTTCTATTTTCTTAAGAATCTTCTCGTTGTTTTTGCGTGAGACTTTGGTTTTTATTTTTTTTTTGTCGCTTTCAATAGTCATTCAGTGATTGGAAGTAATTGTGTGTCAGGGAATAAAACGTTTATTTGCACAACAAACCATTTATGCGCGCACTCAAGAGGATTTATGTTATTTGATTTTGTTAGATATAGTAGTTATAGTTATGGTACTGGTAATAGAAATGCCAATAGTAGTGGTAATCTTAAGGGTAATGGTAATAGAAATGACGATGAGAATAGTAGTCGTAAAAGTAATGACAACGATTTTTTAACCTTTAGGTTTCAAAACAATTAAAATTTTTTTATAGATATTTCCTGACTATAATGCTCGAAATAACCATACATTCAGTCCATACATTAGGCACATTTACTACCTATAAGGAGAAGATGAAGAATGATGAAAAGCCAATAAAAATAACGTTTTTGTCACAATTCGTTGAAAAAGTTTGCGGAGGGAACTCCGCAGAAAAAATTTTTATTGAAAAGAAAACACAAAATTGCAAAGTTTTTAAAGTAAAATTTTTTGTTATTTTTTTATAAAAACCACACAAGTCAAACTTTCAAACTTTATATAGAACGTAGAAAAATTCAACAAATTTTATTCTAAATTTTGAACTTTTTAATCTGAATTTTTAGAAAAATTTTGTATAGGCAGATAGATCGGTTCTATATTTCTAATGAAGCAAGTAAAAGTTTTAGCCGACTAAAAAACCGCGTTGATTTTTAATGAATTTTTTTTTCCGACGGTTTATGCACATAACAAGTGCAATTTATAAAATATAGCGTCAATTTTTTTTAACTTTTAAACGGTCTTGCGCATTTTAGTCGACGAGAAATTATCTTATACATGGTAAAAAGTGCAAAAGTTACTAGAATTGAAAAGCGATCTATCTGCGTACTCAAAATTTTTCTAAAAATTCAGATTAAAAGTTCAAAATTTGGACGAAAATTTGTTGAATTTTTCTAAGTTCTGTATAAAGTTTGATTTAAGCATGAACTATATTTTTATAAAAAAGTAACAAAACAATGTGACTTGAAAAACGTTGCAAATATTTAAGAAAAAACCCCTATGCACTCACTTTTGATCGCCAGTGTATATGGAAAATTTCGTATCAACCGAATTATGACGGCGAATAAAAATTAGTTTGTATTTTTTTTATCCCATCGACTTTGAATTTTCCACGTATAGGCTTTTTTAATGGAATTTTCGTAGTGGTACTGAAAAAGCATATCGATGGCTGAGTGGAATAACGCCCTAACTCAGCTGCCGATTCAAAAACGCCCTATCTCAGCATATTTTCAATGTATTTTCGTTTGAGATAGGGCGTTTTTGAACCAAATTCTGAGATATGGTGTTTTTCAACAAAACCATGAAATAGGGCGTTCTTGAAAAGTTTTCTGAGTTAGGGCGTTTTTGAACTGGCTGCCGAGATAGGTCGATCTTCCACTCAAATGTATATGGAAAATTCCAAGTCAACGGAATAAAAAAAGAAAAAACTTAAGAAATCAACTTTTGATCGTAATCATAATTCGGTTGATATGGAACTTTCCATATACATTTTTTTCATTCTAACTTTTTTTGCTATGATTTCTGCGGGAACGAAATTTTGACAAAAATTTCATTTTTGTTGGGTTGTCATTCCTCATCCTCTCCTTATAGGTACATATATTTCATTTTAGGAAAAACTCAGCTGCCTAATGTAAATACATATCGTTACCTTAATATAGAAACGCCCTAACTAATTTTTTTTGTGAATAACGGAGTGTTAAAAAAACTTAAAAGATAATCAGGATCTTGAGCTCCGAATTTCTTTTAAACGCTGTATTTTATTGAAAACTATAGCTTATTTTATGTTGTTGGAATAGTTTTTAAGTTTCAATAGGATGTTGGTGAGTAATTTACGGACTTTCATACAAAACTGTATCTTGGACAAAAATGAGTTAGGGCCTTTCTATATCAAGGTATCGATATGCACTTTTTTTTTGCTAATCTTGAAAATATAACTAGATATACATATGAAATGATTATATTATTTTAGATAACGAGAACTGATGCACTCCTGCCCCCTTTCGTTGTTATGTTGGAAGTCTTAATGAAATGCATTCATAAAATTTATGCTTGATTTCGTTCGAGTGAATGAGTAATGAGGCTGCATACAACATGAACACATATACATACATATGTCTGTAGAACATTAGAACATACCCCCGCAGAAAAAAATTATCAATCATCAGATAATCAAAAATAACCAACTTATAGTTAGCTTTTTGCGGGTTTCTATAAAATATGTAACTTGTAGTTAGCTACAAAAAGCTAACTCGAAACGACGTAATCGGGGGATTGTTTTCTTTAAACGTGATTCTGTCTAAATATCGTCGTACGAATTTTACTTAAACACACTTTCTTCCTGCACTTCACAAATACTTTTTCGAATTCAGGACAAATAAAAGGAATACCGAAATTTTATATTATCATTTTGAGGGTTTGTCTGATGCAGTTCGAATATGGGACCACCTGCAGCAGAATAGGTTAACTAATATGTAATGTAATAAGATAAAGTAAATAAATAAACAAGTAAAAAATTAAAAATAAAATTTTGTTTTTCTTATTAATATTTTATGTCCAAAAGTAGTTAGTTACAAGTTAGTTAACATCTATGGCAGAGATAACCATATACAGATAATAGTGACCTTTAGTTCCTTCCTTATCAACTTCAAGTTAACTTATAGTTAGATACATTTCCTGCAGGGACAGTATATTTGAAAACATTAATAGATTAACGCACCAACAGCCAAGCACCCGCATAACTTATAAACAAACACACGCACGTGTTTATACATACGCATCTGATATTTATAGTATGTATTTTTGTAAAATGTAAGCATGATATCCCAAAAGCGCAAATAGATGAAATACAGAGTAGGAAGACTGTCGTAGCTATGGCCAATTATGAATGAAATATTGTAGACTCTTTGAGTGTATGAAATTAAATCAGTCGTAGATTAAATCAAATTAAAAGTTTCTATGAGCGGAAGCAACAAGTTAAGGTCCTTTGTGAATATCGGTTACACTAATTTAAATATGCGTGTACATATGTGCTTTTGTATGTATATATGTATGTATTTAAATTCATATCTACATATGTATGTATGTATGTATCTATGTATGGACAAATGGGATAGGTATAAATTAGTCCCTAAGCAGTACTAAAAAACTTCAATTATGTTTTTTACGAATAACCCATCTTCTAAGTCGAACCATCTCGATTCTCTAATGAATCTACCGATTTCGCTAATGGTAGCTCCTGATTGGTCGCTAAGATTTGTTACCAGGTGTTTGCCTATTGTTTCATGTCTAATATTTGAAAGGCCTGGACATAAACAAAGATAAATGCTGGACACTTTCTTTGCTATATTCTAGTTGACAGCTGCGGCAAATCCTATCAGGAGGTCGTCCTATTTTTTCTGCATGTTTGCCTATGGGCCAGTACCCCGTATTGGTTGCTAAAATTCTAAACATCTCTGATCTTGATCTGCTAAGCAGGTCCCGTGTCTTCGTCCTGTTGTAGACATGCCATATTTTCCCCGATATCTTACACGTCTGTATATCTGATCTCTTTGGACTATTCCAAGGGGGCTATCCAGTGCCACCGCTTCGGATTCATTTAAGCTGGCCTTCTCATTGCCTTCTATGTTCGTAAGTCCGGAAACCCAGACAAGAAAAACGGTGGTTGACTGAGACACTGAACACACTATCACTTTGCATTCCCGCACTAGCTTAGACTTGGTAACCGGTGAAAGAAAATCCGTATTTATGGTCCGATTTTGATATTGAAAACGCATGCTGCAGGTGTGAAAAACAGTCTCGCTAGGTAGCGCTGGAGTCGAGGCATGGTGCCACAATTGTCTCATACCTAAATACCGGCCAAGCAGCACGAACGATACAATGAGTTTAGTAAGAGATGGCTAAACTCTTCCTAATGGCCTCAATTAAGCACCACAAAGGTGGCACCACGAGGCTTGTGAGACCAACCTGTTGTTACACGGCACCCAACGTGTTAAATGGAGAATGAAGCATCCTAATGGACTACACACATACACACTTATATACATATCTGTGTTCATATGGAAAAGTAGCTTATGTCGAAAGGCTGGCTTTAGTATAAATCGGCATTCGCAGCATACGATTGCGAATGACTAACTAGCGCTAAGCCGTTGAACAACTTTTGGCAAATAAACGGGGAAGAAATAGTTCCGATACTAGCAAGTCAATATTCTTATTAAGTCTCATCAAAAAATTCCTTGCCGTTTAAAAAATAAAGGGATTGCCGCATTATACTAAAGCCAACCTTTCGACATAAGCTACTTTTCCATACGAACACAGATATGTACATTAGAGTGTCTGAGCTAAAAAAAGGTTGTGGTTTTTTCCAACGGCATTATAAAATTTATTATATTTTAAGACTTGCGCCAAAATGTTGTGGAAGAATATTAAGATTTACGTGAGCTGGTCCAATTTGAAAATACTACCATAAATCTCTTGATTCCGTTGATAAAGTTTTTTAACATTTTTAAGCAGACCTTCGAGCTTGAAGTCTTCTATCTACTGAGGTGATTTTTGAAAAAAAAACATTTTTAAAACTAATTTTATTTATTTAAAATAATTCGATTTTTGTAGTTATGGTCTCAAACGAAAATAGATTTTTATAATTCCGATGGAAACATGGTATCTACCGATTTTCTTTTCTTTCTTTCTTTTTGTATGGAGAGTGATGCACGCTAATCTACGTACCTACTACGTATCTTTGTGTTTATTGAAATTAGTGTTGTTAAATACAAATTAATTTAATTTAAAATCAACTGACGTTTTCATAATTACATTTTATTGTATGTATGTAATTCATGATTCCACAATGCGCATGCTCTTTGCTCGTCGACATAATTTGCCACTTGCCACTCTCTTCTTGCTTCACTTTACTGGCTCATCTGTCATTGTTGTAAACAAAGCAAATGTAAAACCTAAATGTCCTGACTCAGTTACTTGCTTTTGTTAACGTTTTACACCCTTAAGAATGACAGTTAAATTTCCCAAATCAACCCCAAACAGCGAGAGCTTAGCCAGCTTTAAACATGCCACATATGCGGCGGGGGCTGTTACACACTGCTGTTACTGCTGTAAACCAAAACAGCAACGTAAAAAACTTGACACACAACTGTAGGTACGATTGCATTACAGCACCCGCTTTGCTCCACCTTTTCCTATAAACCTTATATTTTTTCGGACATTAGTTTGACAGCTAAATTTCCCAGTACTCTGAGTACTGTACTCGTAGTAAATACCATGATAAAAATATAGTAAGGTAGAACCGCTGAGAGTCACTTTTAAAATTCTTGACGTTTCCAAACAATTTAATTTTTAAATTTACTCACAAACTCACACACACATTTTCATTTTCAATCTCAAGCAACAACAATTTCGAACAATTTCAATTTTTTATTTTCACTTTTATATGATTTTAAAATGTTGGCAAACTTCAAAAAAAAATCATGGCCGACAAATTGAGAGAACGGTTATACCTTGCTATGTTTTTATCATGGTAAATACGACCACCCGCCGCTCGGACTGCAACAGCCCCTTTCGCTTGCCTCATCAAAGTCACTTTCAAGGCGCTCACCGTCTCTGCCATGGACATTTTCTGCGACGACCCAACCGAAGTGGCAGCCAAATCAGCCGAGCGACAAGCCAACAAAAGCGAAAAGGAAATTATCGATCGAAGAGTGAAAAAGTCATTCGACGCCTGATTTGCTTTGGCAAAGAGGGCACACAAATCGCTTTTTCGCAAAAATTTTAGTTTCAGTTTGCAAATAAATTGGATTGCAGTAATTGAAAGTTAATTAAGGATATTTGAATATACAACGATACGCGTTGCCTAATACGGTTGTGCTGTGTGGTGTACTTATTCCGTGGGTGTTGCAAATTGTTGGTGAAAAATATTTTTTTTTGAAGTACTTCAGCTGGCATACATCAGTGGCTTAGCACGCACACACAGACACACACTAAAATCTCCAGTCACAACCACTTTCGGAGCACAATGGCTGACAGCGAATTTGAAGAATTCCACAGGCCCATCTTTGAGCCACATCAAATTCAGACGTACCTAAGCTCTGGCCAAAAGAAAAATAATGCACACACATTCTACTCGTAAGTATGCCAACTACTTATGTAAATATGTAGATGTAAAATCAAAAAAGAAAAAGATTGCATGCAATCTACCTAAAGTGTCAGCGGATGCGAGAATCAGGACATGCCGAGCCACTTGATGAAAACTCCCCACAAGTACTGCTTAAATAGTAGATACGACTCATCAGAGTGCATGGCTGCGTGCGTTTGTGTGCAAGTGTTTTGACATACAATTTTGTGCTGTCCACTGCCGTGGTGTGCGTAATTGTATGTGTGCTTGTGTCTGTGCGTGGCATATGAGTGTCTTCCGCATGCGAAAAATCAATTACACTAAATAATTTCTCAAAGAAATCTCAAAAAAAAAAAACAATTTGGCTATCCGCTCACCGGCAAAATTTTTCTCCTATTAACAACCAAAATTTTGTTCTTTACGCTTTTCAAATCTTCAGCCTCATTCCCAATGATGATCTCGAGGATTCGCCATCTTCGAAAAGTGATTCTTCCGATCAGGAAGATGCTGGCGGTGGAGAACTCTGCTGCGAATCGTCGACGAAGCTTCAACGTCAGGTGGAGGATGATGAAATTGGCGATGGTCTGAAAGTTGTATCACTCTCTTCTGATGGATCGCTGGACACAAATGACTCCTTCAATTCACATCGCCATCATCCATTAAACCATCAGGATGCAATCGGTGGTCTAGTTGGCGTTGGTATTGGTACTGGCACTGGCGGTGGCACTATTATTGGAAATAGTACAACTGGCAGTGATGGCACTGTGGGTCATCAATTATTGCTCTCGCCCAATACAGCTGCTGCTATTGGTGCAACTCAGCTGCAACAACGACGTAGACGAAAATTACCGGAAATACCCAAAAATAAGAAATGTAAGAAGCTAGCGATTTGTGTTATTCGTAAATGAAGATGAAGACCGTTTAATAATGGTGGTTTCTCATGGTGCTTCAAAGCTCACATTTAATATGAAAAAGGTTTTTAATTGAGACTTACGAATTATTTTTGAACTCGCTTCGAATTTTTTGCGCTCCCATTTTTTTAAGTTTGTTCTAACAAAAGTCGATTATAGATATTTTTCTTCATTTTACAGTTCAATTATTTGTTGAGCATTAAATATGAGCTTTGAACCACTGTGCCGATGTACATAACTATGAAACTGCTTATTTTTGTTTATCCAATTTGTAGATTGAATTTAATTGTGAACATGATATAAAACATCAAATCATTAGCATATGTACATATATACATTAGGGCGGGTCGATTTGTGGGGGCCCAAAAAAATTAACAGAGGCACATCGCGATTATGATTATTTGGATCATTTCAAGCATTTTTGCCCAAGAAACCATAGGTCTAAAATGATTTTCGAGCCAACGATTTTTTTATCTAGTTTTTTTTCAAAAAGTGGCTCACCTGTTGAAACAGCTGTATTGAAAATTAGCCAAAATATGTGTCTAGAGGTTTTTGGGGTCGAGGAATCCATTTCTGGCATTAATTTTTTTCTTTTGAGGGCCGCCAGAGGGCGCTTCCGTGGTTTGTTTCGGATTTTAACGCCTTTTTTCCGGAAATCGACAACATTGTTGCGAAAATCCACGAAATTTGACTTTCTCATATGCAACTTCAATTTTTAAATAGCCTAAAATGTGCAGCGTTGAAAATTTTTATTTTTTTTAAATTTATTTTTTATTCTGCATGCTAAACACAGTATGAAAATGATAAAGCACAGTATGAAAATGAAAAAGTATGCTGTCACACATGTCATTTGTCATACAATATGTCGATGAACAGTATTACCAACATAATATTAAAAAAATTCGTTATACGTGTTTAAAAATTGAAACATTAGTAATTATTTATGTTTTTTTTTCATTTACATTTCATATGTTTTTATCTTTTAAGTTGAATTTTTGAATAAAACAAAATTATATTAAAATAAGGAAAAAATCTGTTTTGTTAAAAATAAAATAAAAAAAGTTTTATTTTCGATCAAAATAATAAAACTCAAAGAATAATCATTATTTTTGATGAAAAAAAAAATAAAACTCAAAAAATAATGATTATTTCTGATCAGAAATATAAAACTCAAAATGTGATTATTATGATTGATCGCAGGTATTAAAATCTCAAAATAATGATTAAAAGTTAATTTTTTTGATAAAACTCATAATGATTACGGTCCCTGATATTTATGAAAACATGACTAGTTAAAGCACCTTGTGAATCACCCAAGCGAAATTTGTGACTTTGCCGTAGCGAAGCTTAGGAAAATAAAGTTTTGCACATAATTTAGTGCTCAAATCTACTTAGGTATACAAATTGTTAATTAGCTCAAAACGGAGAACAATGTGTAAATAAATACTCGTATTTAGCTGTTAATACATTGTTTTTTATGTTACTCTCTTTTACTTAGTCACCTTCCGTTTTTGACATTTTTCATTTCGTTGCAACAAAATTTTGCATCAAATATCATTTGCACCAATTGGTAAATTTTCCTTATTTGTAGTGAGTTTTTAATGTGCTCCTCGAACGCATTCGTTGCAGCTTCCATTCTGCATCTTTTAGGTGGTAGTTATGGTCAAACGTCATCGTTGGCCGACGAAATGAACAACGGACGCAATCAAATGAACGACAACAACAACACGCTCGCAGGCAATACAATTATTGGCAACACAAATGCCCTTCTCAATAACGGTACAGTACGAAATAATCAACGCTCATTTTTGACACTCAAATGTGGTTACCTACTCGATGAGGATTCTAGTCCCGATTCGGAACGTTTGCAAAGTTTGGGTGATGTGGATAGCGGTCATAGCACTGCGCATTCACCGAATGATTTCAAAAGCATGTCCCCACAAATCACTTCCCCCGTTTCACAATCACCATTTCCTCAACCTTTTGGTGGTGTGCCCTTCGCCCAATTGGAAATGCTCGAAGCTACACACCGTGGCTTACACAAATTCATACCACGTCATCATGATGAGATCGAAATTGAAATTGGCGATGCTATTTACGTACAAAAAGAGGCTGACGATCTGTGGTGTGAGGGTGTAAATTTACGCACTGGTAGACAGGGTATTTTCCCATCGGCCTATGCGGTCGATTTGGACTACAATGAATTTGATCCCACGGTGCAGCAGGTGAAGAAAGAGCGTTATTTACTCGGTTATTTGGGTTCGGTGGAGACACTGGCTCACAAGGGAACTGGTGTGGTGTGCCAAGCTGTACGGAAAATTGTGGGCGAATATGGCAATTCACCAACTGGACAAGTGTGCATACTGGAAGTATCCGATCAGGGACTGCGCATGGTGGATCGTTCCGGGCCAAATGTAAGTGCAATGAGTTGTGTGCTGCTGGTGTAAATTGTGTAATATTAATTTGTATTTTTTTCTTCCTTTTCTTTTTAAGAAGAAGGACAAGAAACCCTGCATCGATTACTTCTATTCGCTGAAGAATGTCTCATTCTGCGCATTTCATCCACGCGATCATCGTTTTATTGGCTTCATAACGAAGCATCCAACGGTGCAACGTTTTGCATGCCATGTCTTCAAAGGTTCAGAATCTACACGACCAGTTGCTGAAGCTGTTGGGTAAGTACTTGGAAAGTTTTTCGACTTCGAACACAAAAACGTTGTAATTGTAATCAAAAAATTTAACACTTAAATTGTGCTCGCCTTTTATTTTTCTTAACACTTTTTTGCAGTCGTGCATTTCAACGCTTCTACCAGAAATTTATAGAAACTGCATATCCGATTGAAGATATATATATCGAGTAAGCCGATTGCAATCGCTGATGACGGCTGGCAAAAAGGATGTGCTACACTACTACATATGTATATAAGTAGTTATTGTTAGTGCTGGTTTGTGGTTTACGCTTATTTTTTCCCCAAATTCATTAACACAAATGAAAAATGTTGTCTTCAACAAATACCAAATAAGTAAAAAGTACTCATGCTCGCGTTTATTGGATGAAAACGGAAAATTGAAATACTTACTTACTAAAGTAATTATGTAATAAAAGTAAAATTATTGCAATTTGAATTAACAAGAAAACTCTTTAGTAGGAAAAAAAAAATTAGTAATATGTAATCAATTAGTTACCACATTATTGACATGTTTGACTTGTTTGACTTGTTTAATTCAGTTCTTTGTATTGGTGGTATGCAATTTATTTGTAAAGTTCCAGCGGTGTGAGAAAAGAATCAAATTTGTCCTAAATCCAAAGCTTTTAACTAAGCCTTTCTCTTTTGATTCCCGTACTGATTTATGGCCATGGCGAAATATTCACAGTCGAATGTGGGGAGTACGGTTTTATTTTCGTAGTACAGTACTCCCTGTTAATAGAGATCGCTTAAACAATTTTCTCAGTTATATTAACTTTTGTGAAGGGAGCATCGGTTAATTGAGCCCCCAATAATTAAAAGAAATGCTATTGATCGTCTTCAATTAAACGGGGCGCACTGGGCTGCTTGATGAATTGCAGCTGTGGAAAATGCGCGTTGAAGAAAAAACCGTTACTTAACACCTTTCAGCTGACTTTTATATAAATTTATGTACACGGAGAAAAAAATAGGACCTATAGGAACAAGAAGCTTGTCTCTAAGAAAAGTTAATTTTTTTTATTTACCGTATTTTTTTTAATTGTCTTCTTGCGCTCATTGAAAAGTAGGTACTTCTTCTTAGTTGTATGTGATGCCTCCTTGAATTCATTTTAAATAAATATTATCAAATATAATAGTGACGGTAAGGTGACCACCGTAGCCAAACCGGCAGAACTGTAAACTGCCATTCAGTAGGTCCCGGGTTCTAGAACAGGTCAGCGTGCCAACTTTTATTTCTTCATTTTCTGTTTTTAACATTTAATTAGATAACCTAATATATAAAAATCGCCGCTACGGTATAGTGGTTAGCTGGGCTCGAGCCCAGTTTCCGAACAACATCAAAAAATAATAAACAATAAAGTTTTTTTTCTAATAGCGGTCGCCCCTCGGTAGGCAATGGCAAAGCTCCGAGTGTATTCTGCCATGAAAAACAGCTTGTCCGTTCGGAGTCGGCGTAAAACTGTAGGTCCCTCCCCTTTATGTGAGAACATCAAGGCGCATGCCACAAATCGGAGTGAAAGCTCGGCCAAACACCAACATATTTTGTAAGCGCCGAGAGACTTTCTTCTTGATTTCATTGAAGATATAATCCCAAGAACGCTTCAAAACAAAAACCGAAATGAGAACAAAGCTGTCGAGGACGTTCTCAATGGGAATCATATAAGAAGCAAACCCTGCGGAACATTCCCAAAGGGAACAAAATGCGAACAGTACTTACGGAAAAATTTTAAAGAGAACAAAATGGGAACAAAAGCTTCCGGAACGTTTTGGCCAGGAGCATTCTGACGAAGAACAACTTGGGAACTAAAGTCTAAGGAACTTTCTGACAGAGAACGGGAACAAAGCGAGAAGTGAGAACAAAATTGTTCAAATAGCGTAAATCAGTTTAAAATGTTTGAATATTAATACTAATCAAACAAGAACTGAAAGATAGCTATGTAAATAATATAAACGAAAGACTTAAGACACGAACATTTCTGTAACAGAAAATGAAAAATTGTTTCATATATGGACAGTTCACCCTAATGAGAAGCGATACTGGGGTTGAAATTATCCAGCTTTCATTTGGCTTAGAATTAAAAATCTCAACACGCAGACGCCCTTCTCATTCTTAACGTTGAGTTCTCAAAACATTTGTTCTCGTTTTGTTCTCGAACAGAACGTTCCCAGACTTTTGTTCTTATTTAATCCTCCTTGAAAATGTTCATGATACTTTCTTTCTCATCCATTTCTCATTGTGAAGGTTCACGTAAGTTTCGTTCTCATTATGTTCTTCCCGAGAGTTTTGTTTGCATTTCGTTCTTTGCGGAAACGTTCCCGAACCTTTTGTTCCCATTTTTTTCCCGTTCAAACTGCTCTCAATACTTTTGTTCCCCTTTGGCTCTTTTTTGGGAACGCGTTCTCGGTACACTTTTTCTTTTACAACACTGATTTCATCATCAAAGTAGCGTAAATATTCCTAATTGAAATTTACATTTTCCAATATAGTTTAAGTACTTAAATTCGTAAGTTGTACTTGTACATTTACATTAAAATTAGTTTATGAGTAGTATAAAATTAAATTATACTAAATATATATGTATGTATTAGTGAATGTACGCAAGTATTTTTATGTAATAATTGTAATTAATTATAAGTTTCCAGTTGCTACTAAAATTAGTTAAATATGAGTTAAACTTTTGCAATACTTTAAAAGACGTGAAAATCAAAATATTTTTTACTACATACTTATAAATTCACTTACATATACATATATAAATATTGTTTACAGACAAATCTTAATACCAAGTGCTGATTTATTTTTTACCAAAGAAGAGTAAATTTCGAAAAAGTAAACACATACATACAACACATTCTTTCGAATCAATACATCAACTTTAAAATATTGCATACAAATGTAAATAGTTTAGAAAATATATATGAAGGGAAGGAACTCTTTGAAGAAATGTGCCAGGCTAAGTCCTTTGGACGCGAAAGTTTAGTATAAGGTGATGAAGGAAAAAAAAAAACACAAAATATGTATGTATATGTTGAACTTTAAAAAATAAAAATTAAAAAACAATAAATGAGTGGAATGATGCATGCGTGGCAGGTGGGTTAAAAATCTATTTTTTTAAGCAGACACAACACTTAAAATTACATAAAAACAACAAAGTTGAGCTGTAACACCATTTGTTTATTGAAAAACCATTTGCACTGATATCAAAAATAATTTCCTTTTTAAAAATATGCAGTTAGTCAGGAACAAACAATAGCAATAGACAAATTCAAGAGAACCAAAGTAAAAGCAGCAAATAAGTATATATGTAAACCAGGGACCGTAACAGTTACGATCTTAATAATAAAATTCATAATTTAACAGTTAAAACTGGATTTCAATTTTTCCGATCAGATTTAACCGTTATTTTCATTTTTTCAATGATATCATAACCAATATTTTCAGGCTTAATATTTTAGACCATAAAAGATTTAAATGCAGTGTCCATCATAACGTTTAAAAATGATCGGAAAAAAATAAAAATCCAAAATATTTATTATTTTTGATCAAAAATAAATAAAAATCACAAAATAACAATTAAATTTGAGCGAAGAAATAAAAATCACATCTTAAAGATTATTCTTGATGGAAAATAATTCAAATCAAATTATAACGATTTTGCAATGATCTAAAAAAAATCCTGTTATTTAACGGTCCCTGTAAAAATTCAATATTTGTACTATGCAAATAAGAATACTTATAACTCCTTATTCATTAAATCATAACATTAGCTGTACATAAATTGAGGCAGGTCAAATTTGAATAGGAAAGGCCAATCGTTTTAGGTGTAGGTAAGAAAAAGAGCACTTCTATGATTCATTATGAACTCGAAATAAAAATAAAAAAATATGCATACAAATTAATTAATTTTTGAGTTAAAGTTTGAGATCAGTTTTGTCCTTAACCAGCCTTTATATATGGATACACATACATATGTGCATATGGCTACTAAATATAAAAGTTTTGCAATACGGCTGCGTCAATCGATGCCAAATCGATCAATCGACCATTTTTGATTTGGATGAATTTTGGTCAAAACTTTTCCTTTATCATATAAAAAAAGGTCCTGCCAAAATATTTTTAATTTTTATTTTCAAAGTTATGCAAAATTCTAAATTTGATGAATTCTGGGATTTTTTCTAATTTTTTTTTTTTTTGTGTCTTTTTACGTTTAAAATTTCGAATTTTTAATATACTGTTTTATATAACCCCATTGTATCCCTCTTTATTGCAATTTTAGGGAACTACTTCGTCAGCATATCGATCTTCCTACGACTAAGAAATTGTTCTGCCCCGATGTTGGCACCACTCATCCTTAGAATAGCCATTTTCCCCTGAGCCTGCATATGAATGTGAAGAGTGGTAAAATCTAGAAGAACTTAAAAGGTTACGGTTGGACAAGTTCTCCTGGCTCCAGTGTAATTAGTAGGGAAATATTAAAAGTATGTTTTATATATGCCCCAAAAATGTATACTTATGTATAACGAAAATTTTTTCGATTATCGCATAAAAAGTGTTAGTACATACATACATGTATTGAGAATCGAAGCTCTACGTCACAAGACTTTGTTGGACAGAATTTAAAAGTTAACAATTCTCCAGGTGAAAATATTGCAACATTTTATTGAAGTGTTGCTTCACACCAAATATTTGTGTTGCTGATATTAGGCAGTTACAATAGACGCAGAATAAAACTCCCTGCTCAGTTCGCAACACACCTGGAAACTGTTAAACACATTTCGCTAAAAACGAGAAATTTTTATTGCATTTTTCAACCAACGAAACCGGTTTATCGCGAAACTTCGCTATTGGAAAACAACGGTCGAAATATTTTTACGAGTATATTAAAATTGTTTACAAGAAAATAACGGGAGTTTCCGTTGTTTGTCAGCTTTTTCCTCTTCGTCAGCAACCAAATTGTCTGATGAAATTGTGCGAAAATTTATTAACTTATTACCAAAATAATCATTTTTATGCATTTTAATGCATTTTCGCCAAAATATGCATTTTGTGTTACAATATGCATTTGCATATTTTTTCTTCCCTAGTAATAACATACATCCTCCTGCGCATGATAAAAACATAGCAAGGTAGAACCGTTCTCTCAATTTGTCGGCCATGAATTTTTTTTGAAGTTTGCCAACATTTTAAAATCATATAAAAGTGAAAATAAAAAATTGAAATTGTTCGAAATTGTTGTTGCTTGAGATTGAAATTAAAATGTGTGTGTGAGTTTGTGAGTAAATTTAAAAATTAAATTGTTTGGAAACGTCAAGAATTTTAAAAGTGACTCTCAGCGGTTCTACCTAACTATATTTTTATCATGCTCCTGCGTATTTTTTGAAGTCTAATTGTAAAACTAGAAAATTTTGAATTTTATTTTATTTTTTTCTTAATTTTCTTTTCTTTTAATTTTTAGATATTGGTTTAAAAAGAAGAATATTTTCTTAATTTCATTTCATTTTAAGAACTTATGCTATTTTATTTTTTAAATACATTTTCTATCTTTTATTAATTTAATTTTATTTAATTTTTAAATTTTATTGTTTAAAAAAGAAAAATATTTTTTATAAATTATTTTTTTTAGAAACATTTTATTTAGTTTTTTATTTTTTGTATAATTTTTTAATCGTTTTTTTTTTTTAATAATTTTATTTAATTATTAAGTACTATTTTCTCTTTTTTTATTTAATTGTTTCTTTCTTTAATTTAATTTCTAGTTTTTATTGTTTTCAAACGAAACTTTTTAATGGCATTTAATTTTTAACAATATTTTTATTTGTTTTTACTTTAATTTCATTTTATTAGTTTTTTTTAATTAAATGTTCGTTTATTTATTAATTTTTATAGATTATTGATTTTTAAAAAACTAATTGCTAAATTAGTCTTTCGAAAGAGAGTAAGGAGGCTTTCAATACAGTTGCCAGAATTGACTTTTGTCTTTCGAAAGACTGCGGTTAGTTGAAAGACAGTTGCCAGTATTGCAATGTGGTATTCCTTTCTGAAATAATTACAAAAGCGATTCCTATTTTTAGTTATGAAGGGTTGGATTGAGGACAGAGGCGAGATGGTATGGATGCATCTGCCATGCTGTGCGAAGCTACATAGTTATTCCAACTGATCCATTTTGATACCACTAAAAAAGAAGACTCTCTCTGCTCCTCTCTTAATTTTACGTGAAATGGTAGCATTGGGCTTTCTTTATAAAATTTAAATCTTTTTTAAATTTATTCTACAGATTCGAATAATCGATTTT